TTTGCTTTGCTGAGTGCTGTATAAACTCACTCATTTGAAACCTAAAGTACAGATGTAATAAATAATTCTCTGGACTGTCAGAAACTTTTATTCTTAGAAATTGTCTTTGAAAATAACTTTTCAGAGTAAAACTTAATACTCGCTCTGGTATAATGTAGAAAGTCACAGGCACTATAGAAATCATTGTGGTAAACTGTGATGTACAATCTTGTCAGTAAGTTAAAAATGGACCTATCATGTGACCCAGCAAATCTACTTCTGAGCATGCCCAAACGAATCAAAATGAAGACCTCACAGAAATACATGAACTCTCATGTTGCTACATCAACATCTATGAGAGTCTTAGGATGGAACCAACTCAGATGTCCAGTAACAGGTGAGTGGATTAACACAAAGTGGTGTGCAATGTGACCGTCTCATTCAGCCTTTAAGAAGGACTTTCTTCCATATGTGGCAGAATGGGTAGATTTGTTGAGTGCCTGAATCAGTCAGAGTGAATCATTCTGTTCAATGTGTCCACTCAAGGTGTAATGTGTCAGCTCCATCTGAGTATATGTGTTGTGTATGTGCATATGTGCATGTATGCTAGTGTATGTATACCTGTGTGTATGTGTGTGTGCACTGTGCACATGTTGTGTATATGTATGTGGAAGTGTATGTGTGTGTGTGCATATGTGCATGTATGCTCGTGTATGTATACCTGTGTTATGTGTGTGTGCATTGTGCACATGTTGTGTATATGTATGTAGAAGTGTGTGTGTGTGCTGCTAGGCATTTACATATCAGGAAGAATGTAATGTTTCTGAAGCTCAGTTTGCGGTGGGAAAAACACTTAACAGCAGCAGCGATGCAGAAGGGATGAAACCATATAAACAGGGGACCCTCCATTTACTAGTTTATGTAGCATAAAATGTTGAACATTTTCAAATTATTCTTTGCATACTTGAAGATTTACCATTTAAATTACAGGTAATTAGAGACGTGGTAGATGATAATGGGGTTTAATATTATTAACAGCCCCAGGGGAACTTTTCTGAACAAAGGTCTCTTCTTGAGTGGATATGCCAACGAACAATTCTTCATTTAACTTTTCCTCTGGACAGGTCTAGCCCTTAGTTAGAGATTGGAGGCTTTTTTTGGGGGAGGGAAGAAGTTTCCCTATAGTATACTAGGTATTTTAGTGTGTCTTATTTTATAAACTGCTAAATAAGTTATTTCTTGGTGAAAATAGTAATATGAAAATTAGCAGTGGGCCACAGAAATATACTAAGTTGATTCCAAGATCAGAAGTTGATAATTAAAATCCTCTAGATTCTACATCCCTTTTCAGGTTCTCACCAGAGTCTATCACCCAGAAGACATGGATTGGTGTTGGATGCCTCTGTCATTAAGCTCCTTCTTTCAATGACCTCTAAGCCTTCTTACCTACCATGTTCATTGGTTTTTCCATGCTAGAGCCGTTCACAGGCTTACTTCTGGATTTGCATGGCTCAGGAGAGACTCATTTGATGTCATCAGATTCCTATATAATTTTCTATGTGGGAACATTTGGGAGACATCAATGTTCAGTCCATATGGTGGTAATATCCCCACTGTGATGCATTAAGTCAGCATCCTGCTTATTTACTGCTATCCACCATGATGCAGGCAGAAAAAAAAAATCATCAGTGATAAAGGAGGAGAAAAACAAAGAAACAAAGTCTTTTCCTCGGGGCACTGATATCTTCTGATGATCCCATTTACAAGTATGTGAGGGGTCAAATCATAGGAAGAACTTCAAATGGTAGAGTGATGTGATCGGCAAATTAGGGTACTTTCGTGTGGTGCGAGGGGAAAACGCTGAAGAACAGCACTGTCCGTGGGGTGATCAGCCATGTGGGATTGGCCTAAGGGAATCTCTGATGCAGAAGCAGCAGTGGTATGGTTTCTAGACAGAACACAAGTAGGTTGTGAGCTCTAGAAGACAGAAACTTTGTTCCTGGCTAATAATCCCAGCATGTTCTCTTTGAGTTTCGCTTCTATATCTTATGCTCAGAATTCACTGTCATAACTGAACAGCAGGCCAGCCATGCTGAGCAGCAGACAACTTTGCAGTGGCCCCGTCATCCCATCTCTTGGAGCCACTCGTATCTTCTGCCTACTCCAGGGTACCAAAGCTCGTAGATCACAGCATATGATAGAAGTCATGGCTTCTCACCTTTGAGATCAAATTATAAAAATATCAAGGCTTCCCCTGTCTCTTTCTTCTACTCCCCTACCTACAGTTCTGAGAGAGTAGCTTTATGTGCCCAAGACCCTAACCTCTCACCCATAGCCAGCCAGAATCACACTTGCCAAGCGCCCTAGAGAGCACAGAAGCAGATCCCAGACAGAGAGAACTCTAGGCAGCTGCAGTCCAGTCAACAGTTGGGCTCTCACATTCTGAGATGCCCTGAGCCAGTCAGAAACTGCTTTTTCAATTTTGACACCCAGTTGCTCTTGTAACAGAAACAAAGGAGAACATAAGGAATGGACAGGTAAGTATCCGTGAATGAAACAGAGCAAACAAAGACAGGTTTCCAGTCACATCTAATGTTCATTTGAGTGACTAGTCCAACAGTAGTTGATCACCGCTCAGAGCACTCGGTTAAGCAGGTAATTATTTGTGTTGTAAGAAAAATGGGATTGTTGAATCTCAAGATTTTGACTTAGCATCATACATTCTCTTCAGATGTCTGGTGTTCTCTGTCACCACATCCAGTGCCGATATGACTACTCCAATGAGTTTTTAGGCAAATGTTTGAAGCCTTCACTCTCACCATTCTGATAAAGGAGAGCCATAGGGGCATCGCAAGGAGATAGATGGCTTATACCTGTGTTTTAAACCAGAACACAGAGATTCTAGATTTTTGCACACATAAAGCCTATCAAATTGCTACAGGGGCGCATTATAATATCACAGTTCTCATATACTCTGGAATTTTCTACAGATTGCCAGGCATTTGTAGCTTTTAAGGCAAAATAAGTCAAGAAAAATTTAAAGACCCATCAATGGCCTGCAGCTTGCTTGCGATTCCAAGAAAACCTGATCTCTTAATTCTTGAGCAGTTATTTTGAAACTAAAATGCCTTTTTTCCCTAAAACTACATTAGATTTATTTTATTAGAAAAGAAAACTAAAGGAATGTACAAAACTCTCATGTGTCTCTAGGTTATAGGTTCAGACGGCACTCAGATAGGCTATACATAGAAACAGTTTTCTTTATTCTGTGAATGTCTTTATGTAGTTTCCATTCCATAGACGTCAAAACTAATGCATCATGCATTTTTGGTCTATATTTTTCTTCTTAGATTCTTGTTGACATAGCATAAAACAAACATTCTGAATTGCAAATACCTATGAAAATGTTTTCTAAATATAAAAGTTATAGCTGTGATATACGTAACAGTCTACCAAAAATACCCAGTGTCCTTCTCTAAGAAACACTTACGAAGTCTTATATTTCCAAATAGTCCAGACACATTCTACAATCTAATTTAATTTTACTTACTACTGGGAGTATGCTGAAGGCCTATAGAACACACACACCAATTAAGAGTACTGTTATTCAATGTCTACAAAGTCCATATTATCAATTCTTGTTAGATTATAACTTATATATTACAACTTACATCAAAAACATCCTTACAAGACATATCAGGTTTATTTTGCATTTCAGACTGAAGCCCTCATAGGCTGCCTTTGCAGCTGCTCCTCTGTACACTTAGTGTTTCTCCTAGAACTGAATGTGTACAATCTGATAAGCAATCACTGTTCTTCCACCTTGGCTTATGTTCTAGCTAGCTGTGGTTTTGCTTTCAAGGTGACAAGCAAAAGCTGTCCAGATGAAACAGTAGCAATAGATTTCTGTGCAGGAGACCAACACTTGAACACATACCCCCTCATTTCTACCTGTCTAGGATTCCAGTCCAGGAAAGGCTTTACTTATACACAGGTTGCTGTGGGGTGGAGCACATGCCTCCCTTTGAAGCTTTCATCTTAACTGTCACACGGGGAGAATAATCACCAACATGGTTCTCCAGTTCTCCATGTGTTTGTCTAAGCAGATTCAAGGCATGGCTGGGACCCCTCATCAAACCCATGCACTGCGTAGCCGTGACGAAGTGTTCATGCCTTGCACCACACATTATTGCACTTAATTTATTGGTGTATTTAGGCTTATTTGCTCAGGGAATACATTTATAAAGGAAAAATTAAGTTTTTATACAGCAAGTTTGGAAATACACTGATATACTTGATGTCTTGCAGAACAGAAGGAAAGCAATAAATACTAACAGCACACAGGCAAAGAATATCACTTTAAGTGCGTGAAAAAATATTACAAATAGATTTTGATCTTGAAAATAATTACTCCTATGCAACACAAACCATATAACTATACATGAATGAAGGAAAGTAGGGGAAAACAGTATTTTACAAAGCTGCATAAAATTAGCTTTTGCTTTAAAATGACCTGTATGCTTATATAAATCATCTTTTAAAATAGACTGGCCAAAAAAAAAAAAAACAGTTTGTAAGGAAATGTGAATATAACCCTTTCTTTTTCACTTGCTAAACCACTTTAGGATTTCTTGAAAAATTTTAGCCTTTTTTACCCTTAAAAATCTCTGGCTTTGACTTGAAACTGTAAACTATCACAACCCACAGTGTAACCTGCAGAGTGAGCACCCTAGACTGATGCTTGGGAAACCGCTGTCAGAATGACAGAGATGCTGGTTTAGACTCTTGGCAAGGGTCTTCAGCCATGAGCAAGACCTCTGCCGGTGAGCAGGCTTGCAGAGCAGGAAGTCTACTATTTCATACAAATCCACAGTGTTTACTGTAGAATTTGACCTTTAGTGAGAGCGTGTGGAACAATTCTGTGAAAATGGCAAAGCTGCCAGAATAAACGTGAAAAGCCATTTTTTTTCCTAGTAGCAAAACATCACAACAGAAACTGTGAAAAAGATGTGGTCACTTACTTTGGTAGAGTTTTCAAGTGATTTTCTCTTAGCTCCAAAATTCGCAATTTGACAAGTCTGTAGAAAAGAGTTTCAAAAATTACCTTTTTAAAATCACTATTTCTATATAAAAACATTTGCATGGCAAGGTGAATAATCATGGTCACTAATTAGACAGAAATTCTCAGCTGTTTTTAGAGCTGTATCAGATACAGTTATTATTATTTTTAACAGGTATGGGTGTTTTGCTTGCATGTGTCTTTGTATACCAAGTGTGTTTGGCCAGTTTTAAAGAAATTGCAAATCCATAATGAGCAGGGTTGCGTCACCACTGACCAATGACAAGACATTTTACTAAAACTAAAGGCATTTGATTATATCTCTGAATCCCAGCCTTCTAAGTTTCTAATGTTTCATAACAGCACATTATCTTTTATATTTAATAAATACGTGTGTTGAACAGGCTATTGACTGTCTTTGAAATTTCAGGTGTTATGTTCACTGGAATATAGGAATGCTTTTCATCAAGAGACTGTAGACAGACCTGGAAGGCAGGCAGAATGTTCCAGAGGAAAGAGCGAGATGAGTGCACATTCCTTCTCTACGACATTATTCAAGTTAGTCAGCTCCACTGTCCTAACTGTAGCTTCCCGCCAATAGCATTAAACCCTCCGCTTGAATACTTTAAATGATGTCATGCATATAACGCACAGTTCCTCACACCAGAAGTTCTGGTGTTTGGTCTTTCTGATCTCACTAAAGGACAATGGAAATACTTTTGTGTGTCATGTTGATTGACTCCAAGATTCACCTTTTTCCATTTCTGAAAGGATTTGTGCTTGGGCACCCAAGGATCTTCTGTCTGTGAATGTTGAGTGGAAGATTCTTGGGTTACAACTGTGTTCCCAAAGGGCACCTCACACATTATGACGTGAGGTTAGCAGTAGGAACACATTGTTATACAGAACTAGATTGAATTTTATATTTGTTTCCCACAAAGCTCTGTAAAACAAATACTAATTGGATTTGCCCAAACCTTGATTTTTAAGGAAAAAAACCCTCACTATTTAAACAATTTCATCTGTCATCTCTCTTTAATATGCTTTTAGGTATTCATCCAAGCCTCTTTCCTTTTCCCTTTCCTCCTCTCAAGTTAACTTTAATTTAATTCAATTCTTTATGAAGTAACATGCTTCAGTGCACAAAGCTCCACTAGTGAGAGTTCCTTAGAGATCTGAAAACCTCACATCCCAGTGATGGTGCTAATATGATGTTATAGACCTATTCAGTCTTTTAAGGGGACCAAGCTTCAAGTTGGAAGAGAATTTGAGCATCCTTTTGTCAAACCACCTAGCTGAAGGCAGAAAAAATGCTTAGGTAATGAATTATTATAAGTAAACATTATGTTATTAAACAGAGAATATTGTGTCAGATTATATAAAACTTAAATTCTAATTCAAAGTAGCTTTTGTATTGGTGTTATGTATCCTCTGGGTCTAAACCTCATACTCATTTTAGAACTACCTAAAGAGAAAGGACAAAAACAAAACATTCATGACAAAAAGTGTCTTAAGGGATCAAAAATATTTTGTGATTTTCTCATCTTAAAGCACATTGTCCTGTAGTTGATACCCAAAGGATAAGTTTAGTTTATAAGGGCTGATGGAACTGGGGAAACAATTACAAATGCACGACCTAAAAAATTTCTTTCATGTGTATGGTTCAGGATGATGAGATATCCTCATCCATAGAAGTGAAGGAGTCTGGGACATGTTACTGCATTTACAGTGGGCAAGAGAGATCTCTATGTGTTAGGTGACTTCATCACCCTACATAATGTCCTCCTCATCCCGGTCAAGAGGCAGGTGCTGAATCATACCCAGTTAATCATTTGAACAGATTCGAAATAATCAACCAAGGCTGACAATGATGTTAAAATGCCTTTGGTGTTTATGACATAAATGCTATCCAAGAAAATACTCTTGAAAGATTCTGAAACAAAATATGAATAAAAACCAAAGTCATCTAGAAGTTTATCCTTTTATTACATGTATTTATGTTGGGAAAACAGTTTATATATTTTCTATGCCACTTTCCTTGCCTTATCTAGGGTTAGAAAGTGCTCTCCAGAACCACTGATTTCTGCACAGCTCTGTCACATCACATAGGAGCAGCACCGTAGAGTTTGCCAAACTCCTATGTGATTTCACAGTTTTCATTTTTAAAATAATGAAAAATACACTTGTCTACAAAACCCAAAGATGACATGAGCCATTTCTAGTAACAATTTCAAAGGCAATGATCATAACTATTTTTTGAAGTTCTTTAAGCATATTGTGCAAATTGTGTAAATCACTTGTTTACTTTGTATTGTGTCAAATATTTGGGAAGATGGACATTTCTCCTGTAATCACTACCTATTTCCATTTTATCAAAGCTGCCTGTGCAGCCACCCACATCCTCCCGAGTCCCGAGAGTCATGGCTTCATGCTCATTTGTAAGGACTCTTTATACAATAAGGCTGTTACTTGTTTTTCTTAAATAATGAAAATGCTTTTCTGCTTTATTTTGCCTTTATTATTTATTTTATATGAAAAACATTTAGATGAGAAGCATAGTCTGTCTACATGTTTACAATGTTGCTCTTTGCTTCCTGCCCATAAAGCAATTTTGCAACCCAAGAGCCATGGGCAGTTTTCCTCCATTTGCTCATAGTAGCTGGACTTCTTCTTTTTTTTCGAGACAGGGTTTCCTTGTGTAATTTTGGAGCTCATCCTGGAACTCTCTCTGTAGATCAGACTGTCCTTGAACTCACAGACATCTGCTTGCCTCTGCCTCCTGAGTGCTGGGATTAAAGGCGTGCACCATCACTGCTCAGCATGGACTTTCTTTTTTATATTTGACTTTAATTCACCTAAAAATTGTTTCTAATATGTGAATACATAATTTTATGCTAATTGTTATAGAACATTTAATTAACACTTATTGTGTATCAATGAGACCCAACTTTAATCAGTGCTATTACTCACATCCTGGTACTGGTGAAGCAGTTAGCAGAGGCAAAGCGAGATTACACAGGTTAAATCTCTTATGCTTACCTTCCAAAGTTGGCTGGAAGAAATTCAAGGAAGGCATCATTCAGGTAGAGCTGGGTCAGGTTAAGAAGCTGTGTGAAGCCATCGGGTAGTCTAAAAGGGAGTTAAAGAGTTAGTCACTGCATTAATGTTGCTATAGAAACAACAAAAATCTATTTTAGATAAAGAGAAAGAAATGAAGTATGTCTTCAAACTCTCATTTAGTGTGAGTAATGAAAGAATTTATTGAGCATACAGTTACAGCTGGAACTTTAAAAAATTTTGCCTGTTATTAAAATAAATGATCCCTTTCCCCCTCCATGCTGCTCTCTGAGTTGGCAGTGATGCCACTGAGAGCTGGAATCTTATACTGTTGGCTGCACCTTCTGCATCAGCCAAGATATTCTTATGGGAATCTCAAGCTCAGTGATCATGTGACTTTGAGATGAACTGGCTATTCCTAATAGAACAGTCACATCAAGTCAGGCAAGGACTTCTCAGTAGAAGTCTAACAATTTCAGTCAGTCATTAGCATTTCCCTACAGCTTATCACTGTGACGGTGAAGCCTGGCCCGTGTGAAAATGTACTAAACTGACTCCCACTCCGACGCCAGCTTTACCCGTGTGTATAGATGCAAAGTTGGTTTAAGTCCTGTTAATTAAAGATGACCAAGAACATTGGGAATATATTTGAACAGAATCATAATGGCTGTGAGTGACATTGAAAAGGGAGAGTAATCTTTAGTAGAATTTTAGAAATTAGATGAAATAATTACTTGAAACATGAAATCTTTACCCTTTTTATTTAATTGAAATATTCTCCAGGAGACATTTTCTTAGAACAATATTGGATTTTTTCCTATAACTGTATTTCTATTTTAACTCTTCAATATCCTCATCTATAGTCTTGTCTGGACTTCTATAACACATGTCTAAGTTGCCTTTCCCTCACTTTGTAACCTGCTTCCCTGTGGTGACTGCCAGCATCATCCAGACCTCACCAGCCATTCACTCTGCATCCCAGGCTGGCCACCCACTACTTTGTCAACAGACCTTGCTTCAACTGCAGCCTCCTCACTCCACTTCTGGAACATAACATGTGGATTTTTCCTCATTCTTCCTCTCCATCTGCTCAAACTTTCCTAAGAAATGCTTTCTCCATGTAAAAGAGTAAGTGTGGAGATGCAGAGCTAGTACTGTGGATACCATCCATGCCTTTCCCTGACCACACCTTCCAGTTTGCCTCTCTACTAGGTAGCCTTGAATGTCCCGAAACTTTCTCTGTAGACCAGGCTGTCCTTGACTCATAGAGATCCACCTGCCTCTGCCTCCCAAGTTCTTCTGAGGCATGTGTCAATTTTTGGTCTGTCTTACAAATTCTTAAATGTTCATTATTTAATTTTTGAAGGCTTTTAATGTGTAACTATTTAACTTCCTAAAAAAATAAACCTAAACCTGTTTATTGTGTTGTCATGTTATGTAAATCAAATCATATTGTTTATATTTTCCTTAGGCTTTTTAAAAAACAGCTTTACATATTTTTTTTCCAGTTTCATTCATTTGAATGGTAAATGTTGGTCTGTCTTGGAAACCCCTGCCATTATGCAGGCACAGCACTGCTTAGCATTTTCCTGAAGAGGAAGAGTAGTTATTTCCAGATTTTACCTTAGTGGTCACAAATGTTTCTTTGGTGAAGTCATTTGAACACATAACCCAATGTTCCTTCATGAGACGTTTGCATAAATGCTGTTCCCGAAAGTGACATTACTGAGTTGTAGGGAATGCAAGTTTAAATTTACTCAGGATAGCCAAATTTTATTCATAGCTCCGTCCTTTTATAACCCAAACCATCTGCATAAGAGCTTCTTTTTTTGTGCGTGTGTCCTTTTTATTTCATGTGTGTGTGTGGGTTTTACTTGCATATGTATCTGTAGACCTGTGAATACGGTGCCTGAAGAGACCAGAAGGGGGCGTCTGATCCCCTAAAATCAGAGTTAAAGACTAGGTTCCCATAACAGAATCCAGGTCCTCTGCAGGAACAGTCTATGCTCTTCAGGCAGAGCTGTCTCTCCGGTCCCTCTGTTCTTCTTGACCTTTGGTTTTACTATTATTTTTGTTGTTGTTGTTTTGTTTTTTGGTATCACGTTTGTAAACTTGGTAATGTAAAATAGTTTACTTCTTATTAATACAATGATTATTTAAATGATTTATGATGGATTTTAATTTTCATCTTCTGTGGAAAATGTGTTTATTCATTTTGGTTGTTTTCCTACATCTCTACCCTGACTCTCACCCTGTGTTTTTTTTTTTTTTTTTTTTTTTTTTTTTTTTTTTTTTTTTTTGTATATTGAGCCTGGCAATGTCCCCTGCAAGATGGTGTCTTGAGCTAGGGCCTCAGTATAATCTAGGGGCAGTTCTCATTTACTGTGGAGCAGCAGTGAAACAGCCTCCCCCCTCATCTGCTTTGTCTACAACTCTGGAGAATGTTATGCCCTTGAAGCATCCCCCTGAGACGGAGTCCAGCGGAGCTCTTGAATGGTTGACAACACATTTCCTGGGACTCTTGCCAGAATATTCTGCCTTCATTCATTCTAACAGCTGCTTTTTGTCAACCCAAACTAAACACAGAATTCCCTTCTTGGAAATAATTTTCTTTCATTATTTTTTATTAGCACACTGATTATGCAGATGGGGAGGCTTCACAGTGACATCCTCCATGGAAATGTCATCTACAGATTTGGTCGGCTCTGCTCCTGCGCCTTTCTCTGTCTCTTCTTGGTCTCTCACAGTTTCTCTTCCACTTCCAAGTCTTCTGGTTTTCTTTTTTTTTTAAATTCATGCCTAAAGCTTTCCCCCAAATAATTTTAACTTATTGTTTCATTACTTTTTAAAATTAATAATCTTTATTATTTATTGTGGGGGACATGCATGCCACAGTGTGTATGGATATCAGAGAACAACTTTGTTTTTTTTCCTTCTGATTTTACATGGATTCTGGGGATTGGGTTCAAGATTCTAGATATGTGGATCAAATGCCTTACCCACTCAGCCAGCTCTCTGCCTCCCCCACCCCGCCCCTTTTTGGGGACAGCATCTGGCTATACATCCCAGACTGGCCTTGAATTACTGTGTAGTTCAGACTGGTTTCAAAGTCAAATCAGTCTTCCTACCTCAGTCTGTCTCACCAGTACTGGGGGGTCCTGACATGTTTACAGCAACTTTACATACAATAGTTTGGCATGGACTTGTAGTGATTCTTTACAAATTCTCAGGGCACTGGTTTNTTTTTTTTTAGTTGGTTATTTCATTCTGCAACTACCTTGCTCCAGCTTGAATTCAAAGTGATTTTGGTTTTGGATAAAGCTTCCAGGAGGGTATTTGCATAAGTTTACTCTTTGGGAAAGAGGGATTCATGGAAACAGGAATGGGGGAGAGCAGATGATGGGGACTTTATAGTGTAGAGATGAGTACAGACCCCAGACAGAGACCTAGTTCAAGGTCAGTTAGTGGATCACTGTCAGGAGTTGACATTGGAGAATAATCTGTAGGAGAATGAACTTAGAGGGTTTTGAATTATCACCCTACAGGTGTGGCCTTGGTCCTACAGAAAGCAACTTCACTGAATAGTTTCTGTTCTTCATGTCTTCTTTTGTGTGCACTGGAGCCTGCACGCCTTCTACATGGTCGTTTCTGGCAATGTCAGAGAGGTTATACAGATTTCTAATGAGACTTAGCCATTGTCCTTCTTTGATATCACAAGAATTCGTTACGACTTTAGAAAAAGGAAGAGCCATAAACACATGTAAAAATGAAGGAAAGAAAGATCAGACCCTGCCAATTTATCTCAAGAGTCACTTCCAGATGAGAGTAAAGGCGCACTCCTGTACTACTTGAACTCGTGTGTGGTGAGACAGGAGGATTGTGAATTTAAATTTATCTTGAGCTATATAGCAAGGTTCTGTCTCAATAAACCAGGTGGAAAGTCACTGCAAATTTTTAAAAAAGCATAAAACATGAACTTTCTAGTTATGGGATATTTGAAGTGTGGGCCTTCCTCAGTCTTCTCTCTGTAGGTGGCAATAAATGGAATCTTATTGTTCACTCTGATCAACAGCTTGCTTCCCTATTACTGCTTCTGTGGCAGTGTTTACACAACTTGGAAACTCATAATGACAGAGAATTTCCATTAGGCTTAAAAATTGACCATGTGAACCTTATTTAAAATGAAAACTTGGATTAATAAACATAAATTCTATGAAAAAACCAGTATACAAAGTAATATTTTAAACCCAGTTATACACATACATGCTGACATTTTACATGGGCCTTTCTACTTAAAAACACAGAGTTGTGCTGTTGGCATGGTGTGCTGAATTTATCAGGGCTGTATTTTATCTCAACTTACTTCAGTATAAATTCAATAACTAATCTCTCTACAAGAGATGAAAAATGAATGCCATCTTCTTGTTTCCCTCACGAAGTTCTCACTTATCTGGCAGGAAGCTTCTAGCAATTGCTTATAGTAGCACTGAGGAATTTTTTTATTGTTAGCAAGGATAAATCAATATTACTTCAGGATAAGAAGTCTTCTAAACTGTCGCATACTGTACTGTGAAAATATAGACGATAAGGTGGGCTAGGCATTATCTTCATGATAATTGTAGCCAGTAAATTTACTCGAGAAAACATTTGGCTTTTATTAACTTTTCGTCACAACTGTAGTTTCTAATCCCACTGTAGGACTAATCCCACTGACGAATCCTTCTGTTTTCGTCAGAGAGTCTGAGAAACTGTGAGGGAGAAGAAATCCCTTAGAAAGTGATGAGATGGATATCATGGGTTCTCATTAGCATCCAAAGTAGTCATGGAAGCCAATAACATACACAGTAAAGATAATTTGATAGTAAAATGACTTTACACTCTTTAAATAATTTAATGGTTTTCCGGTTGATTGATTTGTTAAAATAAAAGTGTTAAAATTAAACAGTTCTCCTACATAAACATTTTTTAATTTCTTGAATTAAAATGTATGTATTCTACCCACCATAAAGGACAGACAACAGTAGACACAGATACTCATACATGAAGAGACACTCAGACATGCAGTACTGGAA